ATAGCCTCCAAGATGGCTATGGTAGCAAGTATGAAGGTCACAACCCGCCTTAGAAATCTCACCTTTACTATCAACAGCTGTTGTTTGACAGGTCGTTAGAGAATGTTTACAATTTATGGAATGTTAAGAATGTTAGACGTTAGACATGATTAGAATTCCTAAAATTGTCACATAAGAAATGCATAGGCGGATTTTAAGAAAATTGATATTAAAGTAGTTAGGATTAACCGAAATATCTGAAAATCAATAGGGTTCTAAGTTATAAGTGATTATTCAAGAAAATCAAAACCGCAAGTCAATCAGAACTTTCGTTTTAGAGTTATCGTGCCGGCATACATACACACAGACGACCAGACGACAATTTTTTTTGTATTTTCGGACTTTATATGGTAAAATAAATTTTGAAGTGAACTTATGGCTTGCCTGACATGAAAATATGAGATATCGCGACAGTTTAGTCGCCACTTGAAGTTCCATTAAATAAATAAAAATTAATAAAAACAAATAAAAAATTAAATTAAAATAATTTAAAAAAAAAAGTATAAAAATTTAAATTAATAAAAATAGGTAAATTAATAAAAATAAAAATATAAATAAAATTAAACAAAAATAAATAAAAATAATAAACAAAAATATACAAAATTAACAAAAAAAAATATCAAATGAGAAACATAATTCAACATTTCTGTTTAAAATAAACTCATAGAGAAAATAAAAAAAAAATAAATAAATAAAAAAAATTAAAAAGAAAGTAAATATATCTTTTTAATTTTTTTTATTTATTTATTTTTTTTTTTATTTTCTCTATGAGTTTATTTTAAACAGAAATGTTGAATTATGTTTCTCATTTGATATTTTTTTTTTGTTAATTTTGTATATTTTTGTTTATTATTTTTATTTATTTTTGTTTAATTTTATTTATATTTTTATTTTTATTAATTTACCTATTTTTATTAATTTAAATTTTTATACTTTTTTTTAAAATTATTTTAATTTAATTTTTTATTTGTTTTTATTAATTTTTATTTATTTAATGGAACTTCAAGTGGGGACTAAACTGTCGCGATATCTCATATTTTCATGTCAGGCAAGCCATAAGTTCACTTCAAAATTTATTTTACCATATAAAGTCCGAAAATACAAAAAAAATTGTCGTCTGGTCGTCTGTGTGTATGTATGCCGGCACGATAACTCTAAAACGAAAGTTCTGATTGACTTGTGGTTTTGATTTTCTTGAATAATCACTTATAACTTAGAACCCTATTGATTTTCAGATATTTCAGTTAATCCTAACTACTTTAATATCAATTTTCTTAAAATCCGCCTATGCATTTCTTATGTGACAATTTTAGGAATTCTAATCATGTCTAACGTCTAACATTCTTAACATTCCATAAATTGTAAACATTCTCTAACGACCTGTCAAACAACAGCTGTTGATAGTAAAGGTGAGATTTCTAAGGCGGGTTGTGACCTTCATACTTGCTACCATAGCCATCTTGGAGGCTATTTTTATTCGAAATTAGTAGCCAAGCCTACCAATTTATGAAAAATATATAAGCAGTTTCTTAAAAATGACTTTTTTATGGTGGTGCTAACTAGCGTAGCCACAAAAACACCTTCATCAAATTTACTAATTCTCTGTCGCAACCCCATAGAATAGTTAACCGGCCATTTTATTTGGCAAAAATCTGAATAATGCTTGGCTGTACCTGTCAAGTATCAAGATGTCAACTGTGATGTGTGAATGGCTCTTAAATGTCAAATTATTTAAAAATGTATGCTTCTTTTGATATTTATTGCAAATAATTTGTAGTGTATTTCAATTCAGGCTTTCCATAAATAAAGGTACAGCAAGACAGAATATAATGTTCTTATACAAAGCACTTTTTTATTATATGAAAAAGAGGTAGGATATAATGCTGGTTTTTTTTGTAGATAATTTTAATTATACGATTTTGGATTACACTAAGGGGTTGAAGTGCAATATCATATAGTCCACATTATACGATATCGCAAAATAGATTCAACCAGCAAATTGTAAATAATAATTAGTCATAAATTTCCTCAATTCATAATATTTAAAAATGAATCTTCTTACCTTGGGATTTTAATGACAAATTTTGATCAATTATGATACCGAGGTATTTTGTTGTGTTTTTCATTTTAATTATAAAGTTGTCATTTATTTGTATGTTAAAAGAAGGCCTTTGTAAATTACATTGCTCTCTATGGATCTACTTTAACACAAAAATAGTTTTGTGGCTATAAGTTGCTATAACCGATCGTCGCAAAACTATTAATAATTTAAACATAGTAAGTAGTATTAATATAACATCAAGTAATTTTTTAAAATAAAGTACATGATCTCAAAACAAATAATCTATAATAAATGCGGATAAAATGAGGGGTAAAATAACAATAAATTAAGGGAAATACTTAAAAGGGCAGGTTTAAAGAGTATTATCACAAGAAAGTATATCCGTTCTGTTTATTTATCAAGTATTGTTTGAGGTTACTTTTGAATACATTTATTGTTTTTTTTTTAATTTCTGTAGGCAGTCTATTAAATTTTTTAAACCTTTAATAAAAATTGTATTTTGGGTACTTTTAGTGATGACTTGCCGTACATGAAAGTCAGATTGGCTTCTTGTATTATAGTTGTGATATTGCGAATTATATTGAATTTTTTCTAATAGATCTGATGCGATGGTACTGTCATTTTTATTTTATAAATAAATATTAGTCATGTACTGAACATAATTCTGAACTGAAAGCCAATTTATTTTTTAACATAGTTGCAATATTAATCCTTCTGTCCTTTATTAATAGAATATAAATAGGCGAAGTAAGGAGCTCAAATATTTTACATGAGCAGGCTTAAGAAGTAAAGGAGCCAATTATTATTGAATAAATTGCTCGAACAAGTTTTTAAACTCTAATTAAAAGGCGATATAGAATGGTTTTAAAAATCAAGGCCTGTGAAAATCATTACATGGTTTAACCTAAGTAATGCTAATGCTTCACAAACCAAAAAATTCAACGTCTTAATACTACTATCGACTTTCGGACTTTCGTTCCAAGTTAAATCATTTCTCGTTTTTGTGACGCTACGAGTTTACCCTTGTGGGCTTCAGTCTCGATAGGGCGAGAACCACCATTTTAGCGTCTCTCGGATTTTTTAAATTAAAATTGTTATAAAAAAAGCACATAAAATATATAACTCTTCTTAACTTCTAGCCACCCCAAATCTGTTGGTTTTGATAATAGCAAAAAATGCTAAATACCATTTTTATGTAAAACTTTATGCTTTATAATTTTTATTACCGTTTTTAAATAACATTAAAGAAACACTTTATTTTCATGTTTTCCGCCATTTGCCGGGGCCTGAAAAACATTTTTTTTTACATATCGTTTTCAAATAGTGACATATCAAAAATTCCTATATTTCCTCCAAAATTTTGATGTACTATTTGATTGGACCATTTTAGAATTTTCGGCATTATTTTACAGTACATGATACGAAGTAAGGCCGACCTTTACCCATCTGCTAACCGGATGAAAGGTATTTTTTATTAAATATGTTAATAAATATACCGCAAATGGGTTGCCTAAAAAAGATATTGTCAAGACTATTTTTTTACTTTCCTTTCTGTATACAGATAATAAAAGTATAGGAATCCTAATAAAAGTTGCTTGTGATGTCATTCTCTATAATTTTTGTCATATACATGATTTCCCTAAAATTAACCGTATTCGGGATATTTGAGAAAAATGCCAATTTCGAATTTTGAATTTAACTGAGCCTTTAACGACTGTTATGGACAATTCTTCCTATCACAGCACGTTCCTATTTAAAACGCCTAATAATTCCTAAACAAAATTTCTTCAAAATGTATACACCAAATATAAAGATGGGGTTTCTATAATTTTAAAAAATTTTAAGCTGTTAGTATTTACCCTTCATATTTTTACAAATATTGAGTACACCAGAAGATTAAAAAATGTTTAGATATTTTTATTTATATAAAATTCTACTACGGTTAGGAAATGATCCTTATTAAAAAAAAGATAATTCATTGGGACACTAAACAATCTGCTTCCTTCTATCGTCCGACCGCGCAAGACCCAAATTATTAATTTTAACATTCGACAGGTGGCCTTGAAATACAAGCTCGTACCAGTGGCGTGCCTTATTTTTTTTCCCAGGAGAGTATAATTATTGAATGTCGTTATTTATAATGTTACACTATCACGGTTTTGTCATTTAACTTAACTATTTAAATATGTAGGTAGTTACTTTAAAATTGTTTTAATAATTTGTTAAAAAGTAATATTTAAGATCTATATTTAAAAATTAATGTTAACAATTTAATCATCAAATCGATTTTACTATTAAAATGGACATTAAATCAATCAAAATAGAAATTAGAATACTGACATATTTGACAGCTTATGCGGAAAGTAGATTCATTTTCACGCACTGGTGGAAAGTAGATTTATCCACACGTGTGATATAGGGCACTTCCCATAAGACTAAATAGTGAGATAGGTGTTACTTTCCTAAGAGGTCGTAGGAAAAATATATTTTCTTCTATAATATTTATAAAATTATAAATCGAGCTGCCGGTACAGTTCTTGCCATCTATGTATAATGTATTAAATGCTTGCTTTGTTACAAAACAGCTGGCGCCAGTGTCGCACCCTTAAGGTTGCTTGAGATAAGCCAGTGGCGAAACAAAAATAATATGTACTAACTGCCTACTTGAGTCAAATACTGATTTCCAACCATTTCACGCCACTGTAAGAGCGAATCGACACATTACCATGGTTAACCTAACTTACACATTCTTCTCGATTCGAGCGGATTCTACTTATATATTTTTTTAAATTTTAATTACTACGTTTTTTTCTGTAATAATATCCGTGGTGATCAAAATTAGCACTAAGACTTTCTGTTATACCGCAATATGTTTTCGTTTTAAAAGAAGATAACTTACCACCAACTATGAGATAAACGTTAGGAAAAACATTTTTAGCTTGCAATAATTGTCTTGCATGTCCTTGGTGGAATAAATCGTAGATTCCATCGGAATATACCCTTACTGGCCTAGGAGCTTTTCCACTATTTGCCATTTCATAGGTTATTTTTTGTGAATAGTCGCATAGATCACGAATCCTCATTGCTTCTTTGTCATCGCTAAACGGCGCCGGTCCAAAAGTTGATGACTGAAAATCAAAAATGTTTTCATTAATTAAAGTTCATTCCAGATATATTTTTTTTCCGAATGTAATGCGAGCTTTTTCATTATTCAGTCATGCTCTAATCCTCCAAGTCCCTCTCAGTTTTATTTGGCATTTGAGGCTCAATTTGCCCGATTATTATACATAATTAAACCCCTTAAGACCAAACATATGTGACGACTATGGAAGGCGCTTTTGATTACCTTCTAGAACGAACGTGATAATGTTTCTAGTTTTGGCGAAAGCATTCTAGATCTTCACCAGAATTTTCAATGTGTATATACTCGTAAATATTGGTGGAAGAATACGGACCTTTCTAACAAAAAAAGAATCATTGAAATCGGACACCTTTTTTGAAGTCGGTTAAAAATGGAACGAATCGTTTAGGCCATTTCCACCGCTAGTCGTTAATAAATAAGCCAAGCTTAAAATTACGTTTTTAATGAAAAAATGTCATTTTAAACCTGGTTTATTTCTTAACAACTAGCGGTGGAATTGGACATTACTTAATATGTATGTATAACATTTCTTTTTGAAAAACTTACCCTATTCATTTCAGTAACCGACCGTCTTCGTATTACAGCCGAATCAAAAAGCTTTATGTTATCCACAACCATTTTGTAATGAAGTGGATTAAACGATCAAATTACCTCTTTATAAATTCAAACAGCGGGCATTTTTTGTTTCCTAATTACTATCATAAATCCGCTAATAAAAAGTAAATCGTAAGAAATCAAATCTGATTTTTTTTATTACAATGACACTACACGGTTTGGATTATTTATTAATTTTTTTTTTATTGCGGCAAATTAAATAAAACAATTCGGACGTTTTTGAATCGAGAATGCTCATTGCTAACTAGAGCAAATAATTCGGAATACTCTTTCACACAAAGGTGCACTTGCAACTAAATAGCAGTTTTATAAATTATGATAAAACGTCTCGTTAGTAGAGGTAAAATTTTCATCTCTCTACATAAATTAGATCAATAATTATAAAATATTGTCTATGGAAAAATATAATTTCACATAACAAATAATAAATATGAGTCATATAGAGGGAAACGATCTTATACAAACTATGAACTATAGAATGTTAAGATGACGTATTTAATTTCTAGAAGATTAGGTCAGTGTTATCCAGGGTCGAGGTCACATTATGATCTTTCGCAAACTAGACGCAAATATGGAACTTACAGGGTAACGGAATATTTTGTGACAGCAGAGCATTTCTCACTGTACTTAAATTAATTTTAATATGTTTTGTATTATAAAAATAGGCACATAAAGGTGATAGTTAAATTAAGGAACAAGTCCACAATCTGCCTTCTTCCTACAGTTCGGAATTGACTTATTTCTTCAATTTACCTCTCTAAACCTACCTATACCCCGTGCCAAAAAAAAATGTAGCTCAAGGTTAATTGGTATTTTTAGTTATTAATTTCGGTTTTTAATTTTAAAAATGCTTTTGTCATTGACGTATAGAAATAATTTGATAAAACATTTGTATCTGTTTAATAAATAATTAAGTACATTCATATGTATAGGTGGGATTCCTTAAATGGCATATGCGGTTGACTCTACCGGGGGTATATAAACTCAACTAATGTAATGTAATAATAACGTAAAATCAGAGACTATTGAGAATGTATTTAAAAATGAGTCAAATCACTAATACTGACCGTGTTGTTTAAAAAATCATCTTATGATTTTTAGTGGCTGATTAAGAAGTTGTATTTATCCACATTCAGACCTGTCCCTTCTGTTTTTTCCCCTGCAGGATTTTTTTTTATCTAGGAAGGGTGCAGTATAAACCTAGTACAGGCTTTTCAGACAGTTCTATTTTCATTTTTAAACTAAACTAATACAAGTAGTCGGTGATTTTCTACTAGAGTTGAAAATGTACCAGAGTTGAAGATGGTTAGAATGTGTTCATAATATACAAGCATGGAAATACCTTACAGTGAATTTAACAAAGAAAAATATGAAAATACTCATAACAAACACTAATGTCACTCGTCGCGCACCAATAAGTCTGTTTGTTACATGCATGTTCCTATTATACCTTGTACAATTTAATGTAAGATATATCACCCATGTTTAAATTTTTAAACACTTTAATTTTAAGTAATACACATATACAGGGTGTCCGCCGGGATGGTATACTACTTTGTTTATAATTTTTGATTAAATGAAAGAAAATGGATCTTATATTGATAAATGTTTTATTTAATGTCGGCAATTATATATGGAATACAATATCAGATAAATGTCCGCCTCTGTTAGCCTCACAAATGCGAGCCCTTTTGAGCACATTTTTCATTACATTCTCACACATTTCACGCGGTATTTCATTAATTTCATCACGAATATTTTGTTTGAGTTGCTCAAGCGTTTCTGGTTTGTTTGCATAAACCTTGCTTTTCAGATATCCCAGCAAAAAGAAGTCCGGAACAGTCAAATCAGGCGACCGTGGAGGCCAATCAACATCACCATTTCTTGAAATAACTTGTTGTGGAAAGAGGTCTCGCAGTAATTCCATTGTAATCCTGACTGTATGCGATGTGGCACCGTCTTGTTGATATCACATGTTAATCAAGCCCAAAGCATGCAGTTGTGGCGTTAAAAAGTTTTCAATCATATCACGATATCGCTCCCCATTCACAGTTACTGTTACGCCGTTTTCATTTTCAAAGAAGTAAGGTCCACTGAGTCCTCCTGACCAAATCGGACACCAGACTGTCTCTTTTAATGGATGCAAAGGTGACTGATAAATAATTTGAGGGTTTTCCATTGCTCAGAACTGACTATTTTGTTTATTCACATATCCATTCAAATGAAAATGTGCCTCGTCACTCATTATGATTTTTTCATGAAAATCGGGGTTGTCATGGGCGAGCTGAACATCCTATTGGCATGTGTACGGCGGCGTAAATGGTCTTGTGGAAGAAGCTCTTATGTCAACTGAATCTTATATGGAAACAAATGCAAATCCTTGTGCAAAATTGTGGCCAAAGTTGTTCTTTGAAGACCAAGCTCCTGAGCTCGGCGTCGAATTGAAGTTGATGGATTGTTTTGAACACTTTCTTGAGCAGCAGTAATGTTTTCAGCCGATCTTGCAGTACGTTGTGGTCCATGCTTGGGCCTATCACCTACAGACCCTCTTTCTTCGAAATCATTCACTACACGATAAATAGTGCGTTTTGTTGGCACGTTGTTTCTCCCAAAAATTTCACGTAACTTTCTCATCGTCACAGTAATCGATGATTGATTTTGATAAAACGATTAAAACACGTTGGTTTATCGAATATTTTTCCATAATAAATTTGCCACGTGTCTACTTCACGACTGCCAAATATGAACTGTCAAGACTAATGTTTACCAAAATGGCGGCAAAACAAAGTAATATACCTTCCCGGCGGACACCCTGTATAATGTAACGTAGACACTCAGAATTTTATGTCACCATGTCCTATACTTTTAATATTTTACTTTACAATATATTATATGGCATAATGCCTTCATACTCTTTGTAAGGTCGTCATGGTATTGGTTTTTATAATTACAATAAAAATACTGAAGTATTTTAATGAATCTAGAGACGTATTAAAAAGTAAACTATTTCAACTAATTTATTAAATCAAAAAATTATATGTAATCATATGTTGTTCCTTCAACAGCTACACTGCGCGTCAGAGAAAACGAGCCACCTAAAAAATGTACGAAATAATTCATCTTTTTAAATATATCTTATTTTTATAATAAATCTATTGTGTATTAAGTCAGTAATTATTTTACCATGTTATCCGATGTTACCATAAGTCACAAACGAAAAGAAAGCAAAAAAGGAGAAATCCTAAATTTATTGAAAAATTACAGTTGCAGTTTACTTTGCAATAATAAAATTAAAGGGGCAATAAATGGTGAGGATCACTTTTCAATAAGGCGTATTGCCACCCCGATTCTGGATGACACTCCTCATTCGATTTGGCATAGATGGAAAATTTCGTTAATTTTTTGTCAATCAAAGGAATATTAAACAAAGCTATTCTCTTCAAATACTAAATAATGTAATTTCTGCGGACAAAAGGCATTCCATACATATTGTCGTGCAACCAATTCGACCTTGTTCTTTGTTGACCTTCACCTCTGCCGTTACCGCTGGCGATCGAGAATCGACTGGAATGTGTTTTTGTACGCAGGTCGAGATATTACACAAGAATTGCAGTATGTCAAATGAAGATAGGCGTTTCGACATATGCTGTATTGAAAGATGAGAATCCGACTGCTAGAGCACTAAAACGTGAAGGTTTGGATCTGAAAACGTATATCTATTTTCTGATAATGCGGCTTCTATAATTTCTTCCTTGGGAAATAAAATGTTTTCTATAAAAACACATATTTCTTCATTAGAAGCTAAAATTTTCGTATAATATTTCTTCCTGGTATCTTCTGAAATTCTGAAATTGATTCCGATGAAAAGAACATAAAAGATATGGAGAAGAAGATAGAAGCAATAAAGAAACCAGAACAGGCCAAGGACGGTGAAATAAATTGCCATATGTGGTATCAAAACTTAAATTGCAAGAAAACGTAAATTCTTTCCGTGTTAAAGCTCCAACTTTCGACGGGAAGATGTCATGGACCAACTAACTTAAGTAATTCGAAAAAGTTGCGAGGACAAACGAATCTGAAAGTAAATTTGACCTTCGAGGAGACCTTTAGATGTACTTCAGACTATACCATTGAGATAGAATAAAGACGAGATGCTATGAAGATGCATTACACTTTTACATGTCAAACTCGAGATAGCGGACTTAGTCAATTTTGGTGAGAATAAAGGCCATTTTTTTTAAATAGCTTCATTTAAATGATACAAAATCATTTTCGTTCCGTCAGTATGCAAATATAAAATTATTGACTTCAAATAAATCAAAGTACGACTAACTCAAGTCGCCATTTTCATTACATTTTTCTGTCACTCGA